TTTTTTTTTTTTTTACAAGGCCGACATGTGTTCCACGTTTATGCTGGTTTTTTCCTTATCCAAAGAATTGAAAAAATTGTTTTTTTTTTCCTTGCTACAATCTTTTGATTTAATGATCTTGCTGTGTAACGTACTGATACTGCTATACACACAAACTGCAAAGAAGTTTCACTGATGGAACAGGTAACCGATGGAACATGACAATATGTTGTTTAAAGACGAAAATTTTTCTAATGCACATATTTTATCAATCAATCTACCTCTCTTTTTTTAATCTTTTAAACGCAAGTAAAAAGAGCGAGAAGTCTTCTACAGTTTAAAATGTCAGTCGTTTAATACAATTGAGTTCTTCTGTTATCACGCTAACGTTTGGCAATCTTCAGTTTTTGACACGATTGAATTAAATGTAGCGCTGTTAAATCAACCGAAGCATTGAATCGATTCGATGTGTTCCACTGAGCTCGCGTGTTCCACTACATGCACTAAAATTTTCGCTACAGCCGATACAGCCGTTGAGATAGGCTGCTCTGCTAGTGTTAAATTTTTACCCGCGTAACAATCTGCTATTAGGACTACTTAGAAAGACTTTATCGATAGTTAGCTTTTGTTTTTGTTGTTCTAATGATCAATACTGATCAAAGTGTCTACAAAACTCATGGTTGCGGCAAACAACCTCAAAAGGGAAGCTTATTGCTTCAAAACAGTACTGAATCATTTCTACAGGTTTTGTTGACAAGTTACTGAATTGTAGAATCTTTATACGTTATCTGACCCAACTGTCCAAGCAATAATCGTATTCAAGCAAGTTTTAAAAACCCAAAAATTAGTGACAAATAACCTACAGAGGTATATTGTTGCAACGCTAATTTGGCATTTTTAAATATGCGCCAAAAAATTGCGAAAAAAGGCACTGCTCTGTAAAACAGATGGCTTCTTCCTTTCTCGCCCTCATTCACCTTTCTTCCATTTCAATTCCACTTTGATATCGTCTCAACTGCAAGATCTCCAGTAAAATGGTCATACAGGTCAGGGTTTGATTAGTTCTTTGTTCTCTTTGTCGTTGTCACTGCTCATCTTCCATTAACTTCAACATCAAATTTAGTTGGTAAATTTAGTCGGTTTGCCATTCGACGTCCTTTCCTCGCAGACTCTGCGTTAAAAACCTTTTATGTTGCACTTTCGAACTTTATTCGTTTCCTTATTGAATTTCTTCTT